TCACAGGGAAAACATAGTTCGCACTATGTTGTTATACCGTAATAAATACAAGGTGGACAACTCTCTTGAGCGATACATAGAGTGTTTGGTTGTAATTGGCAAAAATTAACTCCGTAAGATTGATTATGATGAGACTTTTAGCCCAGTTGTTAAACCGACTTCTATCTGCACTATTCTAAGCCTAGTTGTCTCGTGTAACCGGCCTATTCATCAGTTGGATGTCAAAAATACTTTCTTAAAGATTCGATTCACCTAGATTACGTGTGTCGTCTACAAAAGTCTCTTTATGTTTTGAAACAAGCACCATGTGCTTGGTTTCAATGCTTTGCTTCTCACATCTCACAACTTACATTTTCTCATAGCGACTCTTCACTATTTATCTTTTGTAGGGGTAGGATTGGGATGTTACGTATTTATTGCTATATGTATATGGCATTGTTCTCACTGCCTTATTTACATCTCTTATGCAGCGTATTATTTCCCTTTTGGCCTCTGAGTTTGACATGAAGGATGTCAATGATTTATCATATTTTTTGGTTATTGCAGCTACGAAGGATGACAAGGGTATCTTTATTCCTCAACACAAATATGCGTTAAATCTTCTTGAGTGAGCTAATATGTTTAACTGCAACCCATGTCGAAATCATGTAGACACTTAGTCCAAACTGGGCACTTCTGGCTCTCTAGTTCCAGACCTTACTATGTATCATAGTCTAGTGGGTGGACTTTAGCATCTGACATTCACTCGTCCAGACTTATCCTATGTCATGCATCAAATCTGTTTATTCATGCATGATCCCAGGGAACCACATCTACAGGATTTAAATCGAATTCTTCGCTACGTTCGAGGTACTCTAGATGATGGGCTTGAACTTCATCCTTCCTCCACCACGGGCCTTATTGCATACTCTGATGTATATTGGAGAGGATACCCTACCACTAGACGTTCTACTAGTGGTTATTTCATGTTCTTTGGCGACAACCTCTTATCATGGTCACCGAAGCGTAACAAACAGTTTCCTGATCTAGTGCATAAGCAGAACATTTGGGTGTAGCTAATGTTGTAGCTGAAACCTGTTGGCTAAGAAACCTTCTTCGAGAGCTCCCTTCTCCTCTTGAAAAAGAAACCATTGTCTATTGTTACAACGTCATTGTTGTTTACTTATCGTCCAATCCTGTTCAACATCAACACACTAAACATATAAAAATGGATATTCATTTTGTGCGTGACAAGGTTGCCACTAGTAAAATCTATGTTCTTCATGTCCATTCTTCGCTTTAGTATGCTGATATTTTTACTAAAGGGCTTCCATCATCTCTCTTCATGGATTTCAGATTCAGCTTAGGCATCTACTCTCAAGATCCCGCTCAAACTGCGTGGGTGTATTAGTATATATGTATTTATTGTATTCTTCATATTTAGTTTAGCACATATGTTTAGATTATGTAGCCCATTCATGTGTATTATGTAATCCATTAGAACCATATGTACATTGTATTTATCTTTTGTTGTTTAATGAAAGTCTTTATGGGAAAACAATAGTGTTTCAATAACTTTAAAAACTTTTATGTAACACCTATTCCAGGTATAAATTAATTTATCTATTTTTTAGGGTTTTGTGCATCGACTTCGCGAGTTGGGGAGCTCCAACTCGGCGAGTAAAAGTTATTATGAGGACGCGGGTTTTCAATCCTACTCGACGAGTCAGAAGGCCTCAACTTGCCGAGTAGGCTCTATGAAGGAAAACACTAATTTTTAGGGCTTTCACCCTATTTAAAGAACTTAATCCGCCTCTCGTGGCCTCCATTACCACCTTGTTAGCCAGAGAAAACCCTATTTGGACCTTGCACCTTCTTGAGTGAGAGAAAGAGATTTTGTGAGAAATTATGATGTGTTTGTGAAGGATTTTAGAGCTTGAAGAAGAAGGAGCAAGGAAAGAAGCAGTAGATCCGGCATCTACACTGTATTGGACACCATCTTGAGGTATAAATTCGTCACATTGATCTCTAATTGCTTAGATCCCTTTTCTTGGAAGTAAATGGCCATTTTTGGTGCAAAATGGGGTCATACTCGTATCTGGACTTATCACAAGGATATGGTTCCATATTGGACCTCTTTAGGTCCCCAATGGCATAAAGTTTCTCGCTTTATCCAGCTTAGGCCCTTTCCATCCACAAAAACCTTATAGGAAGCTCAGTTTCGGTGTTTTAGCTTTATAAGACCTTGCATGCACGTAAAGTTTGCAACTTTACGTGGTAACTACACTAGGAGAAGTTGGATTTGAATTTTAGGACCTTGAATCTCACTGGAAATGACTGAACACAAAAAGGACTGAAGGAACTCGTCGAGTCCCTTAGACAACTCGAGGAGTCAAGTAGGGTTTTTCCCGTTTTTAAGATTTCGAGTGATTTTGTGAAGGATTAGGGTTTTCAGTATGCATGGGTTTACAATATTCTGGACATTGAAGAACTCGACGAGTTACACAGGTAACTCGGCGAGTTGAAGAGTCACTAGGGAGGAACTCGACGAGTTGTTGGATGCACTCGACGAGTTTAGGTCAACATGGACTGTTGACCTTGACCGTTGACTAGGGTTGACCTTGAGGGTATTTGTGGTATTTCGGAGTTGTGACAAGTTAATCATATGTTGATTTTAGGCAGTTGAGGAAGAGTGGTGTGTGGGATATATCTGATCTAAGCTTGTCAGTTCAGCATTCGAGAGGTGAGTCTTCTCACCATACCAATGGGTCTAAGGCACTAAGGCCGACCCATTTAATGTATATGGGTTGATAGTTGGTTATGTGATATGTCGCTAGGACATTTGTATGAAAGTCCCTAAGGGGTTCCAGTGGTAGTATAATAAAACCATGAGGAGGTTCCCATGACATTTAGTATAAGTCCCTGGAGGGTTTCCATGGATTCTTAGTATGATTACTTGTTTAGCTCGTATGATATCCTCATAATTATTGTAGACTGTGTGGAGGTTCCTGCGGCAAGTAGCCAAGACCACGTGGGGGTTCCAGTGACAGCTAGTAAAGACCACGTGGAGGTTTCCCGTGGCACTTGGTGTAAGATCTTGGAAGGTTTCCACGACATCCTTATATGTTTATATGCATGGATTATATGATATATGTAGCTTTTATGGCTTACATGATATGTGTTATGTGTATTGTGTGTGCGGTATGCTCTGGGGGACTCACTAGGCATTAACTTACAGTTTGCGGATTTGTTTCAGGTACATCTGAGCCCTAGGGCAAATGCAAGGCTTGATGGCGTAGCGTGTACTCTCTCTCAGGTGTTTTCATGGGACACTCTGATGATTTGAAATGAAATTGTATTTGTTATGAACTTTGAAAACAATTGTATTTGAGATTTCATGGTTTGTGGAAAGTATTTTGGTTAATTTAGAATAAAAGTTTTATTTTGAAAATTTGGTCGTAACATTTTAAAGTTACATGGTTAAGGATATTGTTATAAAAAGTTTCAAAGATTAAACTTGTACAAAAAATATATTTTCCGACAAAAATACAACACCATTTTCTCTATTAAAAGTCTATTATTTTACTATCAAATGAAGCAAATTTACATTTGACATCGTTACATATGTTATATTGCATCCAAGGGCATTGCCAATGTATGTTTTTAATTAGATTATTGATCAGACTGCTTCAAAATGTAAAAACTTTAGTTTGTATTTAAATAAATGTTTCTTTGTAAGTTGGGTTACTACATAAATTTAAAAACTATAGTTTGTATTTAAATAAATGTTTCTTTGTAAGTTGGCTTACTACATGGGCCATTACAAGATTCTCTTTTTCACTTGTTCTTTTTGTAGTCTACTTGTTTCATCTAATATGTCACATATTGTATCTTATGAATAAGGATAAATACCATCTGTAATTGAGATTTTTATTTTTTTCATTTTTTTTATTTTTTTTTTACTTTGGATATAATTTTTACGTAGAATTATTATTTTAGCCTATTTAACGAGTTTCACAGTTAACTCTTTTATTATTTTTGCAAAATCAATTCTAAACTTGGGTTTAAAGTTCAAATTTATCCCTTAGTTTGCAAAAAAATTACACCACGTATCCAAAACTCGATTTTATGTTTTTTAACTTCTTTATTTTCATTTATTTTTAACTTTTTAATCAAAACAAAACTTTGTTATATATATATATATATATATATATATATATATATATATATATATATTGTTTTTTATATTCTTTTATTTTTCAAATTTTTTATATACTTTTTTTTGTTTTTTCGTTTCTTCTTTATTTTCATTTTTTTTTATTTTTTAGTTATTTCCGATTTTAGTAATTGTAAATTGTAAATTCACACAATGAATCACAATAAAAAAAATAGTAAAACCGTAAATTACCCAAATTAAAAAAAATAGAAAATCAAAAAAAAAAAAAAAAAAAAAAAAACTCAAACACCAAAAATATAATATACTTTAATATATTCATACACTTTATAAAATATCAAAAGAAAATTTCAAATTGATGAAAAACAAAATGTTAAAAAATACGAAGAAAAAAAAAACAATAAAAAAAAAATAATCTTACAAGTTACACTTTTTGGAAAATATCAAAATAAGTTATCAAATTGACGAAAAACAAGACGTAAAAAAAAACGAAAAAATTTGAAAAAAAAATGAAAATAGTATAAAACCAAGTTTAGTTTTGACTAAAAGATAAAAAATAAAATAAACAAAAATAAAAAAGTTAAATAAACATACACCCGAGTTAAGGACATGTGGCGTAATTTTTGCAAACCATAAGGACCAAATTTTGAATTTAAACCCAATTTTAAGATTGATTTTGTAAAAAATATAACAGAATTTCGAATTAAAATAACTCTGCGTAAAAGTAATGGTTAGAACCAACCAAAAAAAACAATAAAACTTTTTCCATCACACATGAAAAATTTGTGGTTTTTTTTTTATATTTAACATATGAATAACCTTTCACTAGGTTTTGACCATCAACTTATTATCCCTTCACCAAAAAAAACTTCAAAACCCGTAAAATGCCTCCTTTCTTGTGTGGTAAAATATAACATAGATGGTTTATTTAAAATTGATATATAGCTTACCTGATGATTGTAGAAATACCGTATCATCTCTTTGTGGTGTTCTTCATTCAAGATTGTATTAATGGTACCACTTATGTATAAAACAATTAACTGCAATAAAAAAGAACAATTACAAGTTTAAGATGGTTGGTGAGAGAAACATAACCATATATGTAAAATACACAATAATATAATCGATGAGTCTTCCTTATTGTAGTTTCATGGTGGAAAACTCAAGGTCAAGATATCATTTTTATAAAATGAAATCAATCATGTATATAATTAAGGCATCAACTCACGTTTGAAATCAAAAGTCTACTTGGAAAGAATAAATCAATATGCGTTTGCGTGATTTGGTGAAGTAAATAGCATTTTCAGGTTGAAAGCTCTTATGTACTTAACAAAAAATAACTAATTGAAAAATGAATTTTATTTCTACTCATTATACTCACAAGTGGAGGAGTGAAGAACATGGGACCAGCATTTTCCGCAGGCCAGTGACCATCTTTTGCTTGGATTGCACGATGTAGTCGAACCGCTTTCTTCACTGCAGTTGTCACGGCTTCAAAAGTGACTTCTTCATCATCACTTAGTCTTATCGGGGCTATGTCCATAAGATCAATTTGATTTTCCTTCATAAGCTATTCATAATATAACATCATATATCAGGTTCAAATATATTAACAAAAGGAATTGTAACCTTTATCTATAAATAATCCCTACGAGAATTTATCATGCATTAAACCAACAATAACTTCGTTTATAAATAAAAATTATTATTAAATCGTAGTTTGCATAAAGATCTGTGACACATGTATTTTCCTAGAGAAGACAAGCACATCCGACATTTCGGATAAGCTAAATATGTCCCTATAATCCCTATTCTAATAAAAGAATAGTTTTATTCTCCTTTTGACATGTATCATCTTATTAAACATCTTAATTAATACATATTATATTCTTATTTTGCCATGTATTACCTTATTATTATATCTACTAATTAATAATTGTCACTTGTCAACATATTGATTATTTATTTTAAATTTTAAATTTTAAATTTTCCACTCTATATATATTAAATTAATAGCATTAAAATAAAATTAATACAAATTATAAAGTGATATAATTTCACATATTTATTTAAATCAATTATTATAATTTTATATATAACTAAAAAAATCTTTTAATTAATAATTTATTTAAACTAATTGATTAATAACTTTGAATTTTTAGTATAAAAGTTTAATTAATTTTATAACCGTGATTTCACGGGTTATAAACTAGTTTTGTATATAATCTAGATCATGTCATTTCATTTCATTACTTTTCTATTTTTAATAACCGTAAGGTGAAGTACAAATAGGCTAAGTCCCTCCGTATTGTATTTTTCTTTAAACAAGAACGAATTAAAAAGCAAGCCAGAGTCTTAGCAAAATCCTTAGAATATGAAATAAAGTTAAACAGATTATATTTTGGTAAAAAGAAATAACTAAAATAAAATAAAAATAAAAATAAACTACCCAAACAATGAATCACTCTACCCAAACCAAATCTATAGCTTTTCTCCTACTGCAAAGGCGCATCCCTTTTGACTCATGCATTCCCTTTTAAGTTACTAACCCATTCTTTTCCAACTCATTTTGAGCGCATCTCCCATCCATCCTAAAAGCTGTATTTCCCTTTGTTTTTATTTTTATTTTTCTCCAATTTTATCCCATTTCTTCTTCAATTTATAAAGATATCAATAGTATTACTTTAAATATGGGGAGTAATATTATTCATTTCTTCATACTTTTGCTTGTTGGTCTTTTTTCATATATTTATATATTTTTAGCTTATGTTTGTCTACAAGTTATATTAATTAATCATAAGTATAATGTTTATTTTTTATGTATGGAATTTATATAAAAATTCAAATACATATCAAAATGTTGGAAAACGGTAACGTATTTTATAAAAGTTTATAAATATAAAGTTTACTTTTTATGTATCAAATTCATATATAATATTTATTTATAAGTGTGTTATAAATATAATCTAATTTATTTAATATTTTTATAATAAAAAATAGATTATATATTTTTTAAAAATTAATTAGTAGAAGGAGTGTATTTGACAATTTATATAAATTGCAAAATAGAATATACTATAAATAATCTTTTAAGATAAAACATAGAGTAGGGTTGGAGATCAAATTAACATTGTTTACTCTATTTTTTTCTCTATTATTGTGGGAAAAAATGAAGATAAGTTAGAGATGATCTTAATCTCAATAGTCATAATAATTTCAAAGGGAAGATAATGATCAACAAATCAACAATCACAAAGTTGGAGGCTTGTCGACCAATCTGTTGCCATCAAAGTTTTTTAAACTCTATAACTCCTATATCCCTCTAGTCCAAACCTTCTCTCTTCAAGTATCTCAAGTATCTCGAAAGCTAGATGAAGACATACATAACTTCAACTTCTCTATATATACTACCTTGGTACAATGTAGTACATACTCTCTCTCTCTCTCTCTCTCTATATATATATATATATATATATATATATATATATATATATATATACTTCTTCAGTATCCTAAACCCATCAACTCATCGCAGTACTAGACGGAGTCGTGTTCACCACACCTTCATAATGACCCATCAACCATTGTAGGGTGTGATTTTAGTCCACACCAAATGGTCTTAAGTTCATGTATGTCGCATAATGTAACGTTTAGATAGAATGTTTATGATTGAATGTAAAGAACAAGGAAATAATAATATTAGTATTTTCTTTAAAACACGTGGTGTTTTATTGTTACTATGTTGCATATCTATTTTACTCGAGATAAATTGATTTTTTTATATAATTTAATGGTTCTTGGTACCTGCATCCGCATCAGCAGATCGCCACAAGCATGGTGTCCTCCATTTTTCCGATTATCTTTAAAGTTTTGACGCATCTTTTCAATTTCTTCCTTTTCTTTTGGAGTTCCGACATTGGGATTAAATTTCCAGAATTGTCTACCAACAAAGTTGTTAGTGCTATACAAATAGGGGCCATCCCCTTCGGCTATCTTTAACTCCCACATCCTCCTCTTCTAATCGTCACCTCTTGATGTAAATGTTAAATATCTAATTCAATAAAAAAACATGTTAGACTAAACATATTCGATTCACACCAATAAACAATAACAAACACATGATAATAGAGATACGAAGAAAATAAAGAACACAATGATTGAATGTGGTTCGTATGAACGACTAATCCACAAACTAGAGAGATATTTTATTAATCATAGACATTAACATACACTTTCTAGTTTTCACTAGAAGGGTTACAAAGGTACATACATAATGATCTGTTTATGAACAATTTACCAAAAACTACTCATGGGTGCAATATAGATATTTTATCTACCATTGTAGATTTTGTTTCGAGAAGCATAGGGCTTTACTCATGCATGTAGACATCATACAGTGAACCGTATACAATTTCTCAATAGCTGACCACATATTTAGTCTCAGTAGCGACAATGATATCAGAGGACATATTAGACTCTAAAACTAAATTAATCAAGCATGAAATCCTCAAACATTAATTTATACAGATCGGCACCAAATAAAAATACTCATATTCAAAACATAAAGGTTCAATGCATATTAATTGAAGGCAAACGGACAATAAGTTGCGCCGCTAACCCTTTCTGGATGGCAAAATCAATTCTTTTGAAAACAACATTTGTGGATCTAGGAGATATGACATTAGAATTCATGACTCGTTGGACTCTATTGAGGAGCTCCACCGCCTCTGGTGCGAGAAAACTAAATGTATCGAATGCAAAAGGTATAAACACATGTTGATTTTCTATACATGCATTATCGTGCTTTACCACTTTGCACGCAACGGATTTCAAAGCGGCATGTCCAGCTGTGAAACCCCCACTCCCCAAACCAACGAGTGAAAAGACTCCAGTAAGATCCATGCATGCATGCTTCCCTCCTATCCATCCAAAGACCAAATACAATCTATCCTAGTTGATTAAATATAAGTTGAGTTTTTAGATAGTCTCAACATACATGGGAGGTTATAAATAACCTGTAGGATCATAATATAGGATGGTCGACAACCTTATCGACACACAATTGTAGGACATAATATAAACATTAATCGATGTAGAGTATTCTTTCTATAAATGGGACTATCTAGAATTGGCTTAGACCGAATCGGATCGAACAAAAAATATTTTCTATATAGTGTTTGTAATGTTAAAAACCAATAAAACATGAATTAAAAATTACTATATTGTCCTTGTCATTTTTCATAGATTGTTTCTAATAAGTTTTAACATATAATTACTATAATTAACACATTTAATACAAAATTTAAATAATTTTGATAAAAGTATTTACACACATATATACATATCTATGTACTTGTACAAACAAAAGTTGATGCAAATATACATACACTACAAGAAAAACGTTTATTAGCAGTGAAAAAAATCGCTGCCAAAACTTAGGATTGTCGCTACTATAGAAAATATCGGCGACATGTCGCTGCTAATGAGTCGCCACTACAACCCTGTTGGTCAAAAAGTCAGCGCCAAAGATAGTTTTTGTTGGTAGTACCCACTGTCGCCGATAATAAAGTCACAACTATTGGGTTTATAAGTAACGGACGTTCCATCTAGGTTTACCAAAAATTATTCACTTGGATTTAGTTCCTTCGCATTAGCGACGACTCTAATAGTGGCGATACATACTATTAGCTGCAAAAATAGTATGTGTCACTGCTATTAGCGTCAAAGCAATGATCCACTTGTCCCCTTGTCTATAGGGACCTCGTGGCATACAACCGAAATGACTCCCGTTAGATAGCCACCCCTTTCTCTCTTTTTACTGCATCATAGACGGACAAAATAAGGTAAGTTATAGAACTGGGCAATGAGGCAAAGATTGGTGATACAACGATTGGAGTGTAGTGACCATACCCAAGATAGATATGAACTTACGGTTGCAAATACTAAGTGCAACAAGCTCATTTATCAGACACCAAGAGAGCAGTTTCATCTGACTGAATAAGAGAACTAATGTGTGTATAGTCGAATTGGTTGATTGTATCCATATCATGCCTACCATATCTTCTCACGAAATTCTTTCCACTTCGTCTCCGAATTAAAATAAGTGTAGCCCTTCTTCAAAGGCCATCTACACAATCCAGCTGCCTCATTTTGAGCTAGTCAAGCATGCATTGAACATATACTGAGATTCTCCCGTCACTTCGACAACAATTCATGATAAGTCGGGTATTGCCAGTGGTAGGCTTGCCTTTCCAGCTAAATACTTGACTTCAAAGACAGCTAGCTAGTTTCATTCCACAAAGAGGATTTGTACAAAAAGAACAGGCTATCTACCCCTTCTAAAAGAGGATTTGTACAAAAAGACAGCTAGCTACAAAAAGAACAGGCTATCTACCCCTTCTAAAGTTATTTGCATCGACGTTAATGCTAACTTTTCTTGTAGTGATACATACACACACATATTTTTGTATTAATTATTGTTGGTAATGGTATCAATTCTTTCCATGAGAAGTTTTTGTGTTCGACAACACTTTACTCATGGTTGTTAAGATCCCGATCTTGATCTTAAGATCATATGATTTTAAGATCCTACAAACCAAAAATGATTCCGATCTCACTTGGATCTTTCGGAAGCAAGATCTATAATGGGATTTTAGGATCCCGACTAGGATCTTAAGATCTTAATATGATCTACTCCCACCTCTATAGTTCTATTTTATAGTCAAGCTTAAAAAATTCTTCTATTCAACTTGAAATCAAGCATTCCAAGTTACAAAATCATCATAAATCATCATCACTTCATATCGAATTAGGCAAGTTACACTAATGATATTTTGTTTGTGATCTTAAGCCTTTAATTGGAGATCATAATGATCTTATTTCTTTTTGTAATTAAGATGTTTTCTTTTTAATTTTTACGTTTTGCAGCAACATACATTATGATTCATGTTCAAAAAGTTAAAGTTGACTCCATATTGACATCTTAATTGACATAAGTTATAATGTATATTGCACATCAAAGACCTTACAATCAAATTTGAATATAAATTCGTTTTTGTAAGATCTACTAATCGTGATCCAATCTTGCAATTACAATTTTGCAAAACATAAAATGATCTTGGAAAAAATCTCGATCTTAACAATCAAATTTGAATATAAATTCATTTTGTGTTGTTGTATGTGTGGGATTCTTTTATGACTTGGCAACATTCTTGAATTCTATTCCATTGACTGCTTTATAATATTACTAGACGAATCCCCGCGTGTTGCGCAAGAATATATTTATATAGTTTTTTTAAGGTCAAACCACATAATTATTTAATCATTATCCTAATTGTATAAACTGTGATTTAATATTTATAAATGAAAAAACAATGTTAATAAATGTATATAAAACATATACTGATTTCTATATATAACAAATAAAAATAGTATAAAAAATATATATTTGATGATTTTATTGACAATTTTAAGGTTTTTAAATTCTATATAAATTATATGTTAATTTATGTATTTAATGAATAACAAATATGCGAAAAACATAAATACAACTTTTAATAACATCAAAACACAACTTTTAGTATAACATTTGTAACAAAAAAAAACCTTATTAAACACGGATAAGTCATACAAAAAATACATAGAAGACACATATTATATATATATATATATATATATATATATACACACACACACACACATATACACACACACACACAGACACATACATACATACATGCTATTAAAACAATCATACCGCTATTATTAACTTTGAAATAATTATATTTATACGAAGTTGATATACAAACTCATTATAACATATTTGATACCTTTAAGGCATACTACAGAAAATTATTAGTGACATTAAACTAATTATGAAATAATAGTCTTATTGTTCCAATAAAAATCCGCATAGTAATAACCATGATGCGGCAAAATATTCTTTTTTTCAACTTTTTATGTTTTAATTAAAAATATCTTAAAACACGTGATTGTTTATGAGAAAACTTATTTATATATTACTAATATGGATACAATGTATACAAATGAGAAGAAAATAAAAGATCACTACCAATTACTAACCATAAGACCGGAGGGTATCGGTGGGGAGTTTCCATCACTTTTTGTGGATCACACCACCCATTTCCCTCATTTTCATTTCCATCACCTAAAACTCAAAGAATGAGTGAGAAACTTGCCTCACTATTTTTTTTTTATTTTTTAAAAAATAATATATATTTCTATAAATATTATACTCATTTTGTAGGAAATTAAAAACCATGAGTTTTGATATATTTTTTTATAATTTTTAATAGGTATATAATTTAATAAATATTAAATAAGATTAAAAAAAAGTTGGCTAATAGGAATAAAAGAGAGAGTGAGGGAATATGTTCTCTCACCTCTTTCCCTCACCACTTTTCCTTCAGTCAAGAGCTGGTGTTCAGCTAAGAGGGAAAGCTTCTCTTACTCTTTCCATCACCCATACCTTCCAGCCTAAGTTATAAAAACTTTTGAGTTGTAGTGATTAATAACTTTATATTTTAAATCATAAGTATACAAAAATTAGAAAACTCTTTTGTTGTTGTGCAAATTTCAAATGAATTTGATTTAAGTAAATTTCTTGTGTTACTCAGAATAAAATTATATATATATATATATATATATATATATATATATATATATATATATATCCGGTAAGAAATTTTTTTTGGTAGGAAGGTAAGAAGTTTATTTTTTCTACATATTTTTTTGATGAACAAAATAAATGAATCACTAGATGATTCATTTGTAAGATGATTCAAAAGAAAAAATTCCCAAAAAAACATCTTTATGATTCATTTTTAAGTAAATTAAGAAAAAATTCATTTTTATGATAATTTTAGTGAATAACAACAAAATCATTGTATAAATGAATCATCGAGATGTTTTTTTTGAGAAATTTTTCTTGTGAGTCATCTTACAAATGAATCATCTAATGATTCATTTTGTTTATTTGCGAAAAAAATATGTAGAAAAAAAAAAACTTCTTACCTTCCTACCAAAAATTTCCTTCTTATTTGATCTTGATTCTATATATATATATATATATATATATATATATATATATATATATATATATATATATATATAAAG